CATCCATCCATCCATCCATCCATCCATCCATCCATCCATCCATCCATACACTTTTTTCACACCGCAGCGCTACTGCACGATAGTTAGGATGAGTGGAATAATTCAGCTCCATGTCCATGTGTGTTTTTTGTGCATTTAGCGCGGCACGCTGTACCACAGTTTATTTAGCGTGTAGAGGCAAAGGAGCTTGAGCATTTGACTATGCATGCCATGGCCCCTACCTTGTCAACCACACATCGCCACAAGGTGAGGTATTGTCCAGGAGCAAATTCGAGATTCACGAGAGAGAGGGGGAGAGAGAGAGAGAGAGAGACACACAGACAAGAAAAAGAACCTAGTGTGTTTTTGCATTGCAACATGCTTTTGTCACTGTTGTGTTGTTTGGCGAAATGAGGCCATCTCGCTGCCCACCAGTTCTCTGTCAGAGAACTGGTTTGTGCTCAGCAACTCTAGCTGGTTGTCCTTGGACACTGTGCCCCGTCCACATTGAGGGCACATTTCACCTAGGTGAGGTTCAAGTCGGATGAACACTTTCCGCGAATTGCTCAACAGAGGGTGACTGGAAACAAGGAGATATTCTTTTGTTGAAGGATGCATGGATATTTGCACCATACTTAGTCCGGGCATTATTCCTCGCACAATCCTGTGTGGAGTGTATTTTGCCTTGTGTGGAAGCTTGTCATGAGAGATATGCATGATAGGAGATGTAGACTAACTTGCTGGGCAGGATGAGTATCTATATATGTCCTTGGCGCACTTCTAAGCTGAGGTCTTGTCAGATGGTGCTCGGGAGCCCTGGAAGGTGAGCTTGGCGAGCTACGCCTTCTCACCGGGCTCTACTCAGCAGCTAAAAGCTACCGCATCCTACGGGTCTGGCCCAGTACGGGAACACGAGTCTTGGATTAGCCTTTGGTCGCTTGTTGTCGACACAGACCTCCATGCAAGGACAGTGTCAGTATATCAGCGTGAACCATTTCTTGATTGGCCACGTCGCGGCTGAGGTGTTTAACCTGAAGGTTGAGGATGCCATTCCCCCTGTGATCCGTATCACTGCCCCCTATGTTGTTTCAGAGACGTGTGGCTTCAGCCTCGATGCCTCTGCCACCTACGACCCAATTGCCCCTACAACAGACGACTTGGTTTTCTGGTGGTCTTGCGCAACAGGAACTGGAACCATTGACTGTCGACGCTTGGTGAACTTCGGGCCACAGATTTGGATCCTCAAGAATGGCACTGGAAGCTCTGGGCCGTTGTTGATCGTGGATGGTGGCCAACTGACAGAAGGCAACTACACCTTCACTTTGCAAGTTCTGCGTGTGTCAGATCAAGCTTCCATTACCAAGGCATGGACGTTGGATGTGGTGAAAGCACCAACCGTCTCCATCGCCACGACCCCTTCGTGGTATGACGGGCAATCCGTGTCGACACAACCGAACACTGTGGGACCCACCAGCACAGCATACATTCGGACAGGCCAGGGCTGTGGCGAAAGGCTCTCAGCCCAGTGGCTGTGGGCCTTGGTAGAGGCAGAGAGCCCGTTCAACATCGTGACCTACTTTGGCAATTCTTCAGATGCCTCAACTTTTGCCGCATTGCCCGGCGATGTTCCGTATGACTATTTGCTGCCCGGATTTCGCTATTCTTACGCTTTGCTGGAACAAGCAGATCAGATGCCTCCGACCTTGCTGGATGCAGAGACCCAGGGACTCGCTTTCGGGCGGACAGTACCTTTCCTGGCTGATGCACCACCAGCAGCGGGCCAAGTAGCATGTGTACCAATGATCGGCACTGCTGCGGCAACCGACTTTTTCATCAGTAGTTCTGGATGGCATGATGAAGACATGAGCAATTTGTCCTATTCATACTACTTGCTGCCTTTGCCGGCTGGGGTGTCTTTAGCGAATGATGGAAATGGAGGCAGGTTGCCTTCATTTCTTTTGTTTTAAACCTCCCCGCTTTCACAAGCTTCAATTCTCTTCCTCAACAGCTCTACATCTGACAGCTGCAGCTTCCCTGAGGCGTCTCGGTGTCGGGCAACTTTGTGCCGCCGCAAGTCGACTGGAAGGATACAAGTAGTCCAAATCACTGGATCGCTTTGGGCGGCATATGCCTGGGTCACAGCCAAAGCATGCTGCAGCTTCGCTTGCCCGCTGGACAGCATATGTTGGCAGTTCTCGTGGAAGATAGCCTTGGTGCGGTGCGGGGACCAAGCTAAAGAGCCAATGAATCCCACAGCAGTCCCATGCATATAGCGACGTGAAGATACCGAAGCAGACTCTGTAGAGCCCTTCTTACTGTGGATGCGGGCCATTGAGATCCATGCTCTATTCCTTGTTAGAAAGTGCTGCCAGAACACCTTTCAAGTCAGATGTACTAGGTACGGCAGTTGCTTGCAGTCGTCATAGCCGTAGGACGCCTTCAACTCCGCCCAGGTGAGTTCTGCATTTTTGGCTGGTCCGCTGGTTGAAGCCTCGTCATCAGCTGCAGACATTGAAAAGGGCCTTGACATTGCGGTCATCTCGAACAATGCGGAGATCATTCTCAGCACGCTGGATGCTACGTCAGGGACTGGGTTCGATGCCACGAAAGAGGTCCGCAAGACAAAAGATCAAGATTCGAGCAACAAATTTATTATATATAGTTGGATTGAGCACCGGTGAAGCGTCCATTTGATAACGACCCGGCAGGCGGAAGCATTCACTGCAGCAGCCAGAGTTGCTGACTTGTCATTTGCCAGAATTCTGACTTGATTGGCTGTGATTATATAGTTTTGGACAAGGCATTCGTTTTGGCATTCTCTTCTCAAGCAAGCAACTGTGCAGAATGCTTCATTAGCAATCTTGAAGCCCTCAGCGTGGCGTGTCCTTTCAAAAACTTTACATTCACGTTTGCACCATGACGTTTTTGTGCTTTTTGTGGTTGTTTCGTGTCCAGGTCGGAAACGGGAATATGTCGGCTAAGCCGAGTGGTCCTTAGGCTGCAAGGAGACATGGCATGTCAGGCACAGTGCATTCAGCTTCAAGCCGGGTGGCTAGCTTTCAACACAATTAGCCCCTACAAGGAAGGACATTGACTTTTGCAAGAACCCTGTGCTGAACTGAGGCAAGCAGGCTTCTCGTCAATGCGACCCCAGCATTTGCATACATGATCTCACAGGCGTTGAGCACGGTCCTGGTTGCTTGGTGCTTGTTGTGCAGACACCAGGTTTGTCTTTGGTTGAACCATGGCTCTTTGACAGGATTGTTGTTGTCAGACTTCTTGATGGAGTTTGTCTCACAACACCGGGGGGAGAGAGAGACAGAGAGAGAGAGAGAGAGAGAACTAGAGCGAAAGAGCAAGAGAGAGTGTTGTCGATGCCAAGGTTGACATGTCCGCTATACCCTCTGTGGGTGTGAACCGGCTCCCTCGAGTTGTTTATTCAGTGGCTGTTGCCTATGCCACTGAGGTGGAGGAGGCTTCCTTTTCGGGGTTGGTCACCTGTACATGTCGGTCAGTCATGCGTAAATAGACTATATATAGAGTGCAGCCTGCCTAGTAAGGGCTGAACAATTTGGTATTGCTGGTGAGGTGGTGCTGCGCACCGAGCAGCTTACATCTTTGGCCACAGAACTGGGAAATGCAATCCTGGCCACCGTGCAGCTGGACGGCTCTCAGGTGCTGAGTTGGACACAAGATGGCAGGGGCCGCTTGGCCGCACAACGTGTTTAGAGATGTGTGAAGAGGACTCGCCAAGACCTAGGACGAGCACTTTGTTACTAGTAGCTTCTTTTCTCCTATCAGTAATGCCAGGAGCTAGTAGCTTCTTGTCACTAGTAGCGATGCCCTTTGTTCCTAGTATATAGCTTCTTTTCTCGCCCCCAATGACAAAATCGAATCCAGCTGCGTGAAGTGGTCAGCCAAGGATTGCAAGTCTACGTCGCCAAAAAGGAGGTAACGGATTTGCCTTACGAGGGGCTTAATGTTGGAGGACTGAACCATGAGAGTGCCATGCTGGCAGACCCGGGACGATCTGGGTTGCAAAGGACTTAGCATGCCGGCCTACACCTTTCAAACCGACCCGCTGGTACAGTATTTGATTGAGGAGCCTGAGTTCAATTTGGAGTAGTTTGCTTGCTTGGTGCCCAGTGGGTTATAATCTTCATGATGACTCTTGCTTGAGGCTGGTCCGTCCTGTAAGACCGTCGAAGTACAGCTAACAACTTGGCTTCAAAGTGGCCCGGTGGCAGACTTGTCCGGCTCTGCCGGGGTCATGGTTCTTCTAACTGCCCAGGCAACCCGTATGCTTGGGCCAACCAGACCACCTACGCCTCTACATTTGTCAGCTCTGACAGCACTGTTGTCGTGCCGCTTGGCCGAAGAGAGTGCAAGAGTCCGACGCTTTAGTACAGGCTAACAGCTAGCAAGTGTCCTTTGGGGTAGGTGCCAGTGACGAGCTTTCAGCTTTGCACGCTTGTTGACAACCAAGACTCAAGACTTTCTGGGTATCAAGTCCCAAGCAAATGCCACAGGGCAACTTTATGCATGCTGTGGTTGCTTGTGCCGCCCATGGGCAAGGCTTCAAATCCAGCATTGCTTGAGTGACGAGATCCTCAACCTGTCCCAACGGACGCTGACCCTCGAGCTGCCTCTACCTGAACGGCCAACAGCTTCGTTGCCAGAGGGGCATCCTGACTGAAGTTGAACAATTTGGGTTCAAGAATGTGTGGGAGCTGTCTGCTGTGAACTTGCTCAACATATGCAGGCGTTGCTCAGTTGGAACCTGTGTCATTGCACGAGTTGGGTTCTTCGGCATGTGCTTCATCAATATTACTGACAGGCTTCGCCAACCGGCGACGCCCCTGGGGGGACTGCGCGTATCCGCAGGCTCTTTGCACAGCGAAATCGACGATTAGCACAGCTTCTTACGCCTGTGCATACACACTCCCATACAGGTGTGCGCGCAAGGGTCTGATGGAAAAAGCGTGATAATCTCAGCTTCAGACACACTTACGCACATGCACACCCGCACACGCACCAGCACGCACACGAACGCACATGCACTCGCGCACACGCACACGCACGCGCACAAGCCCGCGCGCAGGCGCGGGCTCGGCTGCGGGCACGCCCAATGGGCGAAGTTGGGGCCACCTTTGCGTCAGCGAGCCTGTAAACACAGATAGCTTTAGGCTAGAAAAATTACCAAAAATGTAGCTTTTCTGTTTCAGCATTTTTCACGCCAACCAAAGTGACCGCGATATTACGCTTCTATTCGTGACTTAATTGAATACGCCATATAAGCCCAGGTGGTGCTAGAAATGTCGGCCGCAAGCGGACATTTTCAACATCACCAGGACGAATGTACTTTCTGGAATTAGGTCAAAAATAGAGGAAACTGTACAAAAATTGCTACTGTAAAGCTTTACCTCTAGAGAAGAAAGTATGCAAAGGGGAGGGTGGGTTTTGTTTGTCGAGCACCATTGGCACCACCAGAGTACAAGCAGCACTGTTCACATAAAAGCCAAAATCCTGAGGTCGTCTGTTCATAAACTACATGCATGTGCAAAAACACCGTAACTTACAGTGTTTTGCGCCAGGTCATGCACCAAACCAACCCCTCAAAGCAGGCTCCCGAGCCCTGAAGGATTTGCATCTTTCTTGCTGAGACTCTGCTGATGAGACTGATGGTCGACCAAGATCTGTCCTCAAAATTGGGCTCCATATTCAATGGTTTCTTTTCTAGAGGTTTTGAAGCTATAAGCTTGCATTTGCCAATTTTGTAAATTTTCATCTGTTTTTGACGTTCTTTGGACGAAGCCACATGAGCCCTGGTGATGCTAGAAATGTGGGTCGGCGGCATGGAACACATCTCCACATAGCAAGCTAGGCTTGATAGGGTCAACGGCGCGGCGTCGCCGGATTTAAGGGCTTGCGCCGGCTTACGCCCGACAGCTGGCCAGGGGCCAAAACAGGGGAGGGGGAAGAGCAAAGAAAGTGGAAGGAGGGACTATTGTTGTCGTTGTTGTGGTTCTTGTTGTTGCGATGGTTCTGGTTGTGGTTGCGGTCTTGGAGCCAAGTCGAACCCATCTTTGGGCTATGTGTGGCGGTCTTGGGGCGATGTTGAGCCCATTTTGGGTGTATGGTGTGCCATCTAGGACCTATGTTGGCCTATTTTGCGCCATTTATGTTGACATATTCTTAAGATGCGACGTTTTCTGTCCCGGACCCCCTCTCCGAGGCCAAATCCACGTAAAAACTCACGTTTTTTATCGCCAAGATGAAATCCATGGTGGCCGAAGGGCCAAAAACCTCGTAAAGCACAGCGTTTTTGAACATCACGCGCGCAAAGCGCCGTAAAGCACAGTGGCGCAGGTGGGTCGGGCGGTGGGTCGGCGGCAGGGGCGGAATTCCCTCCCTCCTACGGAGAGGAGAGAACCCTTCGGGAGAAGGGGCCCAACTGGGCCCTGGGGCCCAACTCAGCCCCTGGCCAGATTGAATGGGCTGACGCACTGGTGCCGCCAACCCTGTTTTTTGAAGGCTGTAGCTAGGGGAAAAGTCGGGGAAGAACATATATACCTGGAATCCACTTTTTGTCAAAGAGGAAAAGTGAACCCCCCGGACAGTAGTCCTGAAAACTGCCGCTGCGAGGGTGCCAGACGGCAGCTTTGAAGCCCAGGAAGACAAGTGGGCAGGGCCACGGCCAGAGAGTCCTGGAAGGAGGGCATATGAACAGCCATGATGTTTTGCGAGCAAATGTGGCCGGAGCGGGTGCCAGACGGCAACTTTGAAAACTAGTGCAAAAAAAGGCATCCTTCGCCAGCTTTGGCCCATGTTGTTCCGCGCGCAAATGTCACAGCCATAGGCGTTGAGTGGACAAAGGCGAACGTTCCACCCTGCGGCCCGGCTCAGGCCTAGGTAAGCCAGGGTCGGCGGATAGCTGACTTAGCCGACTTTGGGATTCTAGCAGGGGAGAAGGATTGCCGGTGTGAAGACCACTTGCCCAGCTGTGAGGCATGTCTACAAAGCCACTTGTGCAGTCTTTGATCCTGACGAGAGACAATGGACCAGAGACGGCGTGCGGTAGACTGAAGAGGAAGTGGCTTGCCTTGACTGTGTTAGTTGAGGGAAGATTTTGTTGGGGGGCACTGTCCTGCATTTTTGAACCACTGCTCGCATTAAGAAGCAAGATGCCTTCGCTCAGGAGACAATCAAATGCCATGTGAATTCTGGTATCGACGTTGCTATGGCCTTCACGGCTTTCTACAGGGCAGCGCCAAACCTCGAAGAAGAGCAACCGGTGAATGTTGGCATCATGGTAGGTGCGATGCAAAAAAAATCGGATTGGACGTTTGACACTTTTACCCGGCCCCTTTTCTCAAGTTTTCGCGAGAAGTGTGACCGTCACCATTTTCACCACACCTCTGTTGAATTGCATTGGTGTGGACCCTGATGCCCTGGCAGTTGCTATCCTTGTGTTCTTCTTTTGCCTGGGAATCGTGGCCTACAGTAACAGCAAGAAAGGCTCACAGGCAAGCTTCGAAGCTTTGTTGGAACCAAAACGCTGTTGGAAACAGCTTCTGGGTTTTTAGAAGCGTCGCAGGTTGTGCCTGAGCCAGATCCACCAGAGCCGCCAAATCCAGAACAGCCAGGGGGGGCAGAGCCCACGGCCGACACTCCCGAGCCGGGGCCTCACAGTATCGCTGAAAGAGTGCGTCATGCAGGGGTGCTTACGTTTCACTTGTGTGCCTAGGGAGCTTGTACCGCATTGTGTGGGATGCTGCAAATGTTGCCGTTTGTTTTGACCATGTCGCACTCGAAGTGTGGGCATCCCAGAGATGGGATTGTCAGGCTGGGCAGGGAAGCCTGGGCGGCTGAGCCAGAAGTTCCTGCTGCGGCTGTTGCTGGACCACCTGAAGGTCATGTCGTAGCCACCTGAAGCAGTTTGATGAAATTGCATATCTTAGTGAAGGGCGGGGAGCTGTGTAGCATTTGTGTAGCATATCGTTTGTAGAATGCTCATGGATTGTTACGCTACTCAGGAAAGCCATTTCAGAGATTGGGAGAAGGAAACGTCTCCCAAATCCCAGTCCTCCATGACGCCCAAACCTGGCCAAGCTCCCAGTGTTCATGACAGAACAAGCAGTGAGCAGTGGATCAGCATCATATCATGTTATATGTATAGATTTTAAGTTTCCTTTTTTGCCAAGCTGGTGAGGCCCACAAATTCCTGAAGTGCCAGAGCCAAGCCTTGTGCCTTGCAGGCTTTTGAGCCCATACTTTTATCATATGATGGAGTGAGGCCAAGATCGACCCAGCTCTTTTCGTGGAAGCAATGCAACAGCACACGCTTGCATGCTGAGGCATCTGGAGCTCCGTTAGAGATCCGTGTAGATCCTTCCTTCCAGAGCATGACAGAGGGCTTTGCTCAGTCAAACCTGCCAAGAAGCTCAGAGGACCCTAACAAAGTGATTGTCAAGACCACCGCAGACCATTTCTTCACAAAGCAATCTATAAGTATACCTTGAAGAATTCGGTATGTATTGCTGCCCTCCGCTGCAACATCCAGGACCCACCTCGGCAACCTGAAGTGTGACCAGCAGCATCAGCCTTTGAGTCACGTGAGGCCTGGCTGTACTACCGTTTGAAAGTTGCCCATAAAGGGCAGTGCACATGAGTCTCTTTCGATGCTTGTTTTGTCTCAGATTCCGTGCTTGAGAGATAGTACTAATACAAAAGCAGCAGAAATTGATTCTGTTGGCCATTGCATTTGTTGCGTTTGCGTCAACCACAAGTTTGTTCTGTACAAGCAATTGAGTGCTTCTTGGTCTGCCAAACGGCTAGAACCCAAAACGAGATCTTGAAGAAAGGAGGTCCTGCCCACGAGCCATGATCAAAGCTGGATTTGAACATTGATACTTATGCCCGTCATCCAAGGCAGGACCCAACCCTTCTTCCAAGCGTCCATGTCTCCTCGCGCATCCAAAGATATTTCAGATGCGCCAGTCGTTTCAGTTTCACAAACAGTCAGGTCGGAACCGGACAAGAATTGCCAATCAGAATGTCGCTGGAAAACCACAGAAAACCTCTGACTGTCGCAGCTTTTGAACAATGAGCTCATATCAAACTTGGTGCCATACTCAGACTATGATTGGATGCCTACCAAGTAGGCAAGTTCTCCGTTTTCGGCCCACCATGCCTCCCTGGAATCAGCGGAGCCAGTTTCCAGTGCAAAAAGCAACGCAATGCAATGCACAAGTGAACACCTACAGTGTGCTGCGGGTACTATTTCTTTGTGAGTCATGAGAAAGCACCTCAGGGACTTGCATTTTCAGCTTGGGCACAAGCGCATCCTATACCCAGATGGCTTGGATCTTACTATTCGTGCTGGCTGGCCTGGGCTCCGCAGGGCCTTCAGGTTTTCACAGGCCAGTGTCATAGCATCAAAGAACAAAAAAGCCTCGCCGAGCTTGACTGGTGTTTCTTCCCGTGATTGCCGCAATGCAGTTTGGAAAGATCTGAAATTGTTCCTCAAAACAGCCAACCAAAAGGACGTGTGTAAAAGGAAGTGTGTACGTCCACGTCCTGCCTGGAGGTTGAAGGTTGACCGCACGACCTTGGGAAACACTTTTGATGGGATCGGCGGTTTGAGTGGGGGAGGTGCTACCAGTGCAACTTTGATGCATTGATGTGATTCTGTTTTGGCACCCAGGTTGAGCCAGCCACGTTTGAGCTTGGTCCGCAGCTGTTGTTCTGTTGTCGAACCAAGGTTTTGCTCCCAAACTACGCCGAGCCGGCAAAGTCTCAAATCCTCGACTACCTCTTCAAGCCCAACTTTGGCGCCTCCCTGCAGATTTTGAAGGTGGAGATCGGTGGCGACTCTCAGTCCACAGATGGCACAGAGTCTTCCCACATGCATGATAGCAGCCACATAGACCTGCACACTGGCTATGAATGGTGGCTTATGAAGGAGGCTTGGTCGTCGATTTATGTTGGCCACGGTGAGGATTGGTTGCCAAACATGCAAGGCCTTCGGATTTTTCACTTTCTTACCGCTGCACAAGTCTGTCCTTGAACTCTGGAAGATTCTTGAAGATCCTGGATAGACTACTGTAACTTGCTCGGTAAACCATTTTATGTGTCTTGTTTCTTTTGCCCACAGGCGAAGAAGAGGAATCCAGATATCAAGCTCTACGGCTTGGCATGGGCCTTTCCATCATGGGTCGGCAATCGTAGCGGTGACCCCTTCAAGTTTCCCGAGCTAACTGCGCGGTATTTGACCGAGTGGGTAGCTGGAGCCAAGTCAGAATATGGGAGACTTGGCCTCAAGAAATGTGGTTAATTAGACTGACTGATACTGATTCCACATAGGCTCCTCTCTGGCTTCACTAATTTCTCCTGTGTGTGACATTTCCTCATTTCTGCACAACAATTCTTGTAGTGGGTTCTTGTTCATAGCTTCTTTTATCTTCTTTTGAGGCTTGACGTGGACTATTTGGGAATTTGGAATGAGAAGGCCTCGGACAGCAATTTTGCGGGAGGCCTAGCTTTCTTTCAGGATGTAGGTGGCAATTGTACAAAGGGTGCTCATCTCATAGACAGCCTTTTTTCTTTTTGGTTTGTATGCACTATACACATCGAAAGAATGTGTTATTTCATGCATGTTGCCAAGACCTCCTCACACCCATCAGATGCACTTGCTGCTTTGAGCACTGTCAGGTGCAAGTTCTCCGGAAGACCCTAAACCAGAGAGGTCATCAGGGAGCTTTGGCAGCATACTATCAGGCTTGAGGGCTGATTCCGGCTAAGCATGGCTGTGAGCAATTTCGTCAAGAGTGGTATCAACTTCCGTTGCCATCAAAATGCCACTGATGCCACGACGGGAGGTTGTCAAAGGATGGTGCAATTGATGCCCTGTGAAGTTGTGTGGCGAAAGGGGCTGCGATGCTCTAGGAACCAAATGTGTGACATGATGTGTTGGTCTGAGGAACAAAGCTAGTGGTGAAAGATGGAGGCCTTGACATTTGCGAGACCTTGCTGAAAGACCAGAAGTATGCTGATGCTGTTGACATCATCGGCCTGCACTATCCAAACGACTTCCAAGATTTTTCTGCATCCTTGAGTCAAGAGTTTTACAGAAACCAACGCAGATTGTGGACAAGTTGCAACAAAAAGCCTTGCTGCCTCCCTGAAAATCTAGGAACCACATCCTTCAAGGAAGCTCCCCCGCCCTCAGCCAGGGGGAGCTTCCTTGAAGAAGCCTGAGCTATCGTGCGTCCATATTATGTAGTAGTAGCTTAAGTAGCTAGCAGCTAGGAGCGTCCAGTACCTTACTTACATAACCAAGTAGGTGCCTACTGTAGGTAGTAGGATTGGGCCAAAAAGAAGGACGCACTTTCTCTGAGGCATGCCAGCGCCTCAACAAGCCCATTTGGGCCTCAGAGGAGTCGTCATCATATGACGACTTGAATGGCGCCGCTTGCTGGGGGCGAGTCATCAACTCCCACTGGGTCATCAACAAGAGACCCGACAGCACCAGCGAAGAGTGGGAGCTCAATGGACTTGTAAATCATGTGCCTGAATATTGAATGCTTGGTGATCCTTTGGAAGATGTTTTCTCAAAGGATGTTGAACTCATTGCAGATGGTCTCTAGACTCTAGAGACCAAGGATAACCTCATCGATTATGTGGAATCTGGTAGGCTGGAGAGGGACCAGAGCACATTACCGTCACAAACCGTTTGAAGTCTATTGTAGGCCCCAGGCGTCGTAAGAATTTGTTGGTACCCTTTGCGCAAACCTAATGTACCCGGAAGATGGTTCAGAACGCAGCACAGTTTTGAAGCTTCAAGTGCCAAGAAATTTCCTGGCCTTGTGGCAGGTGCATACTATCACGGTACCAATTGGTATGCCAGCTCGATGATGACTTCTGTGGAACCCTGGAGTGGACATTATGAAGTCAATCCTGTCATTTGGGCAACTGCGTGCCTCGCCCGAATTTGGCACCCCCCCGTCGTGAAGTTCTAGCTGGGAGGATGGTTCTCTTCTTGCCTTGGATCTGACCCAACACCAGATTGGCGATGTCATCTCCGGGCCAAGGCATGTGACGCAATTCACCAAGATAGGTTGGAAATATTTGCTCAATGGCACTGGCTCCGGAGAGCTGCGGAAGGGTGGCTACTACGCCACCTGGGTGGACCCCAACTCGAATCACTTTACCATGAATATTGTGAAGATTTCTCGCAACTTCACTTCCACATGCTCTGAACATTGCTTTGCAAAACAGTCGAAGAACCTAGAGTCTAGAGCAAATCCAGGTGTAAAAAACCAAAGCAGCTTCGATAGCTTTGTAGCTTCCAAATCTTTGAGCCAGTTGACGCTTTTACTTTTACTTCATGTTAAGCCTTTGACTTTGACACTTGGTCCTTTGGTATTTTTTAAACCTTTGTTTCGCTTGGTGCATCCCATTCCACTTTGGATTCAGGTGACCATGCCATGTGCACGCGACCACTGCTGCCAAGCTTTGAAGTCAAAGAGGCTCAAGCTGTTCGGATTCAAACTGTAAAGACTTTACAACAAGGGCTTCAGTTGGCTATAGTGTCTCCCTGGCTCTCACCCCGTCCACTCATGTGTCATGCTATTGGTGGGTGCACAAGGAGCAGAGGCGCCGGTGTGCATGGATGAATTTTACACACACACACACCAGGTCAGTGTGTGCAGCTTTCCTTGAGTCAGACTTTGTGCTGCAGGAGCATTTGACAATACAGTTGGCCCCTTCCATGAAAGCCCCAGAGACGTTGCAGGTGTGGTGACTTGGACTTTGACATGATGTTCTAGTTTCAGAACAATCATGCTTTACTTGATTGGGATCCACAGTTTACTGCCGGAAACGGGTTGCCAATGACAACAACTGGTGCAGTGATCCAATTTATTTAGCAAGGCTGAAGCCTTTTGGAGGCTGAGGCGGGTTTGATACGGTTCCGGACTGAGGTACTCGAACTTTGAAAGATTTACCGGCACTCCGCCAATGTTCCAGAAATCCACAGTGAAGGTCGAGAACAATCAATTCAGGCCAGTTTTGTGCAAGGTATGCAAACATAGTACGCTGGCACCTTTGTGCTTATGTGGGCCACCTTTCCAAGCACTTCTGGAAAGAGTAGTGCTTGAGGCTCATGGTGCCAGTTGGAGGTATGTTCACTATCACTACCATCACGTCGGGGCACAAGGGCAGCTTTGATCACATCCCGGAATCTTCTCCGCCGTTCCCGCTCGACTATGTTGATGACTTCCAGTCAACCGAGGACTCTCAAAATGCAAGGTGGGTCAATGACGGGCATTCAAACGTACGACACATCACCAGTGGGCTTTTCTTGAAAGCCGGCTGCCTCCGAAACATGGATGGACCAGGTGGTTTGCGGATCAAATCGGGGCGTTTGAAATCCATCGCTCAACTGATGGCAAGAAGAGCTTGAAGCAGATGGTGCCAGATCTTCCGACTCTCGTCTACCCATATCGAATTCAAGTTGCATTGACATGACATGGGTTACACACCAAGCGCTCAGCCAACTCAGCCTGAGGATTGGTTGGAGTGATCAAGGCACCAGAGGTCCAATGACCTTAATTGGCATGAGAGAGTGGCAAGATGTTGAGGCAGGAGATGCGACAATGCCCTGCAGAACAGAATGAAACCGCGAAGCCTGAGGGAATGGGCAAGTTGGATTGACTTGGCCAATCCTCGTCAGGTTTCAGAACAATAAGAGGGTAATCAGCTTCAAAGATCCACTGGTCAGGTGAGTGTCGCATTCAAGTTGCCCAACAAGCTTGCAGCTACGACCTGTCCAGTTGATGCCTTTCCGATTGACCTTACTGACCGACAATGTTTTGGGCTCACTGAGAGTCCCTTGGTGGTGTATGCGTGGAGTGATGTAAAGGGAAACCTGTCTTCGAGAGAGAGAGAGAGAGAGAGAATGGATATGGCAGATGCGTGGAAGTCCTCCTGGGGCCCGGGGCATCAGGGTTGAGTTTCAGCAATGTGCTTAAGCATGCTTAAGCTGTTGTGCCACCAAGGCAAAGATCAGAAGTCTCCAGAAGCATGCCGTGAGTTGTGCTGTCCGCTCACTGATGCTTGCAACGTTTGGACCTCAGAAGTTTTCTTCCGCTTCTACAGCGTGCCTCTTGAGTGATGCGCTGCCTCAGGTCTGGGAATGGGAAGAGTCGTCGCAGTCCTGCTGGATTGGCTACGTAAGAGACCCGAGTATGTGCAAGTCTGCGAAAGGCCAGGCTTGTGCCACTGAGCTCATCAACGTTTTTGCATAATGTGCCTTTCTTTTCTGTTCCATTTTGCACCTTGACGTGCATCGTTACTTCTGCAAGAGACATGGGCTGAAGATTCGTTCGCAGACATACTATACTAGAAAACATGGGCATAAATGGTGCTGCTGCTACTATGTCCTCTAGTCTGGCAGCCATGCAGTCTCACATCTCCAGGTTACAAGTCCCAATACCGACATCTTGACCGATCTTATGCAGCCTGTGTGGCCGTGCGAGTTGATCAGATGTGGGACAATGGTGTTATTTTTTGCGTCTTGGCTGTGCAGAGCTTGCCGATTGCCCAACACTGGTTTCCGTTTGCGGGCCGGGGGGTCCAGACTTGAGTATCCCCCAACTCATTTGTGACTCCAGAGGATTCAATTGGACTTTCCAGCCGGTTGGTGTAGAGCAATATGTGTGGAATCTTGTGGGGCAGCTGCAGGTGTTTCTGCTGAGGGCTATTGGCATTTGTCCAATTCAGGACCAGCCCTACCAGGCGCGGAAACGCAGGGAGCATTGTGCTATTTGTCCATGGTTGACTGACCGATTCCAAAAATATGTTTTCCTGCCTTCACTTGTGATGAAGACGATGTGCCTGTTTGCTGCCTGTTGTGAAAGCACCTTTGCCGTCTTTCTTGGGAGCCCCTTTGGAAAAGAAGTAGGCTTGCAAGATTTGATTTCACCCAAGGAGGGGAAGCAATTCCCGATACTTTGCACTGACAGATTTGTTGCAAGCGGGATGTGCCAGGTTCAGCAAGCATTGCAAAGCCTCCCCTTGCTGAGGGGCGTGTGTTCGGTGTGGGAAACGATTGGCACACCTTGGCAATGAGCGTGGAAGCGGATCAGGCTTCGTCAGTAATCTAACCTGTTTGTATGCAGTTGTCATTCTAGACATGTGGGGTGTGGCACATTCAGCTGGATGATTGTTTGGCAGGCGCGAGCCAGCCTTGATGGGAAAGAGATTCTTACAAGTTTTCAAGTGCGTGACCTGGACACAGGCTTCTCACTCCACTTCTTGCTTTCGAGAGGTGTGACTTTCCCACAAAACTGTAGACCTGCAGGATTCGCAGCCATCGGCGCAAATGACTGGTTCCCGATAGAGTTCCGGAACTTCAGTGTCAAGAAGGCTGGCGATCAAGAATGGGGTGGCCCTCTCTACATCAGTCTCGCCTTTTTCGTTTCTCCCTTCCTTGTTTTCCTTCCTCATGAAAGACTTGAGGTCTCGGACAATACTACCCTCCCTGTCAATAAAGAACATAAAGAGGTCCAGCCTGGGAACGAGAATGGCCATTGCTGAAGGCATCCACCGGATGGGATCCTCCACTCAGCTGCCAAAACCCTGCAGTGGGGGCGCAACTCAGCGTCCGGGCCTGTGCCCGCAATGGCAAGGTTGCGGAGGTGGGCAGATGGTGGGAAATGTGCATCGAAGAAAAGATCCAAGTACATCTGGACTCGTGGGTCCCACCAGAATTTGGACTATGGGCAGCGGGTCAGCGGGTCTGGGTAGGGTACATGGAAGAAACCAAGTATATAGCATGACTTGGACGTTGCTTTTTCTTCAATATCACACAGGACCAAGCCTGGGAGCTATTGCCATCCTTTCAGCTGCAGCATGTTCCCTCAGGAGAGGTTTGTGGAGGCCTTTCAAAGTACAGACAGTCAGTCCTGGAAAAGTACGCACTTGATCGGAAGGACTCTGCACCAGTGCAACCGCCCCGGGACCAGTGATTCTTGAGAACTGCCTCTTGGTTTTGAAGGCCTCTTTTCGGTTTCTCCCCTCGCCAGAAAACACATGTAGAAAGTTCTGTTAATGTCAGCACGGAGGCTCATAGCAGGCCTTGTGCTAACTAGTGATTCTGCACAATTGCGCTCAGGTGATGCAACCAAGAAGAGCCAGCTATTTGTCAACGATTACACTTTGATTCGGAATAGGTTGCAGATCATCACCGCCGCGGTCGTGTTGCTTGGAGACAGGAAGACCTGATTGTTGCGGAGTGCAAAGCCAGAGTTGGAGGCTAATTTTTCTTCAGTTTCTTCAGGTTCTAGAAGGGTTGATGGTTTCATTGCAAACTGGAAGGCAACAGCCGTTAGCGGGCAACAAGACTGGGGAAGCGTTCGTTGGACAAAATGCTGATTGGAAGTCGTGGAGCTATTTCCCGCGGCTCGGATAGCAGCAAAAGGTTGTGACATCACAAGAGCCGATGGAACGCTAATACGCAAGAGCCTTTTGAGGGCAGTATATATTTAGTGTCAACGCAACCTTTGGTAGACCTGAGGAACACCAAGCAGCTCCGCAATCAGTATGTCGCTGACGTCAACTTGGGGTATCCAATGTGTTTATCCACTTGCCCGAAGGGTGCTGAGCAGAGAATCACGCTGATTTACACCTAGGTTGGAGCACACCTGCTCGTTCTGGGTGTACATCATGCACATCCACCTCAAAGAGACAATATTTTCCAATCTTAGCTTCAACGTAGCCAGGCAAAAGTCCGGCCATGGACGTGGCAGCGCTTGAGAGATGCTCAGATGGGTCGTTTGAAATTGGCCCAAAACATATTGCGCCCCGCGGCCACGAGGATTTGATTTTTGATAGCTTTTGCTCCTAGCTTCCTTGCTCCTAGTAGCGATGCCCTTGCTCCTAATAGCTTCGTGTTACTAGTAGTAATGCCAGGAGCTAAGCTGTGTTCAGGTCCCGGGTAGTTTGGCTGTGAACAAAAATCACCCGTACCAAGTGAACTCTTTCTGCGCAGCCATTCACCGGCCTTTCACGGGTGTGCACCCAACCTCACCTGGTATCGTAACCTCTATTACCTGAGCAACTTGCTTGCATTCAGGAAGCTGCTTGGCAGTTTTCGTTTTTTTATTTTAGGCCCTGCAGCGTCGGCTTTTGCTTTCTAGGCCCAGTCTTTACAGAACTGTTTTCAGCACAGCCCCTGGAGTTGTGAAGACTTGGGGCTGTAGACTGGAGACCAACAACAAACAGAAGAGAGCCCATTGGCACAGTGGCATGCCAGATATGTCGGAGAGTCTGCTGGCTTTAGAGGCACTGGATTCATGGCGACAACAGAGCGGACTCCGTTTATGAATCCAGATAATGACTTGTCGAGCTTGAAGGACACAGCTGTTCGACATGGCCACTCGGCGGTGTAGCATGTGGATCAAGATTGAACAATATGTCCTGGTGTCTCGTGTGAAATTTGTGCGTGGAGTGGACACACGGCAAGCGGTATTATTGGGGAAAAGACATGTTCATTTCTTTTTTCACTTTTCATTGTCCATCGCTTTGATTCTTGTACTTTGAAGCGTTTTTGAGAGAGAGAGAGAGAGATTGAAGCGTTTTTTGATCAGTCGATTGCCAATGAGGCTTTGTTCGGAAGGTCTTCGGCATCCTTGGAGTGCAGCTTTTTGCTACTACAATTGTGGCAGGCCAAGGGGCGGAGCAAGATGTTTTTGTTTGTTCCAAAAGGCTTGCAAGCCCACGCTTTGGATCCCATTTATAGTAGGATCATTTCGCCCGCAACAATCCACGCTAGTGAGTGTAGTAATTGAAAATTTTGTTTGGTGTGGGTTGAGCACAGGTCCTAACAGCCCCAAAGCATGTCCACCTTCCTGAACGCCGTATTGAAATATGCACTGAAACCCACTGTGGGAACCATATGTGTTCACCCCAGGCTTCATTACCATCTATGGCGATCATTTGGATCCTTGGCTGGGATTTATGCTGAGTTCACCCTGCTCCATGTTGGAAAGTGTGCCCGATGGTGGCAGCTCTGTCAACGCTAAACAGCGCCATCATTTTAGCGCTGATCCATGGTACATAAAATTGAAGTGTGCTGAATCATGTTTGGAATTGTTGTGCTTCCGAGTTTTGCCTTGAGTGTGTGCACCGCGAGTGCTGCGGCGCAAAGGTGTCATCAAATCCTGGCCTGGTAACCACGCTGATGGTGTGCTCAATTGCCCATCTCTTGGTGTCGCTGTGTGAAATACATTATCGTTCTTTTGTGCTGTGTTTGATTTTCTCCGTCTAAGATGCTCGTCCTCAGCGTGGGGCTGAGCCTTCTGAGTTGGAGCGTGTCGACCCAGCTCTGTTCCTGTTTCTTTATGTGCTGAGGTGTTAGCTGCGTTTTCATGTGCTGCCCAGACACCATGAGGCGGAGTCCCACCAACTATGCGCTGCACCTCGGTTGCACAATGGATAGGCCCTAGGCCACAGGATCAATGTATAGGGTGAGCCGAAAATGCACTTGTGTTTGTCAAGGAAGCTATACAACTTTAGCTAGCTAAGTATGTTTTTGCTTCAGTAAGCCGGGGAAGGCCTGAGGCCATCTCGTCGGGGATATTGCCTCCAACCTGCCCAGCTACGTTAAGGTAAGAGAAGATAACGATAACGATGACATTCATTCGGCTGTTACGGTTAAGCACCGTTGATAAGATGACGTTGAGCTGGTCGTTACAAATATATGTGTCGTTTCGTTGAACAGAGGGTTACACAGTGGCGCGCTTTTGCAACCGATTGCCATAGCTTCCGTTTACACCTGATGGGCTCAATCTCTTTTTAATGCTTTCCCCTATTTCGGGATGTTCTCACCACTCAACAGGGTAGCAAGTGGGTATCCGTGAGGCTGTCGCTCTTCACCTTGGCAGAGGCCGTCCTAGTTGGCGGCTCGGCGAGAGATTCAGTTGCGGTGGTGCCTTTGCTTTCAACACTGCTATCATTGGCAATCCCTGATTGAGTGCTCACAGGCTTCATCTGCGTCCAATACACAGTGCAGTCGGTCCTGGTGACTTTGGCCATCACAGTGATGCTGGCCGCACTGGATGGCTGAAAGAAAGTCTTGAGGTTTGAAGGGAGCAAGCAAGAAACAAACCCAATTGCCCTGAGATGTCATAACTCAGTCTGCTGCTCCTGCATCCACAGATGCTACATGTGAGGGATTTTGTTGCATCTTCAGGCAGTGGTGACTCTGTCGCTGATGCTCTTTTCTTGCCAGACCACGTGTCTCACATGCAATTGGCCCTTTGAAAGTGCACCGGTGGAAGACAACCCTCAGAGATGCAAGAGGGCAGGATTGTAACTGTCCTTTTGTATCCTAGTGTAAGAAAACTGCCTTTTTTGCTTGGCGATTTTTTTGGTGTCCAAGGTATGATTTCACTGGCTATATGCCCTACATGTTTACCGCCACATTAGTTCTGCTCTTCCTGGGGATTGGCATCTCCATCTCTGCAGCCTTTGGGGCTGCAGGCACTTTTAAACCCAACATCAGCGCGGGTTGGATCTTCTGCAGCCCCCCTTCAGTCAGAAAATTTTTTATTCAAAACACATGTGCTCAGGCACCGGCGCCTTTAAGGTTCTGTGCCTTGGCATCAGGAAGGGTTTAGAGCAGGACTTGTGCTTGGCCCGGTTCGGCACCTTATTGCGTGCTTGCAGAAGGGCCATGCCCGGACTTCCAAACCGGTGCTTTTTTCTTCAGCCCCACTTTCATGACACAGACAATGGAGAAGGGTGAGGAATCCAATGGCTAGAACACTATATAGACATGTGATGGTCAGATGACGGTTCTTGTTACAGGCCTCTTTCAATCTTTCCGCATTTTTTCTTGGCCAGTGCATTCAGCCTTTCAACAGCCCTGCCGAGGAACATGATTTATGCTGGTCTGGGTGCCTTGATGTTTTCCTTCTACATTGTTCTCGACACGCAGATGATCCTGGGCGGAAAGCACAGCAAGTTCAGGTGCCTTGACCGTGACCAAGCGTGACGGGCAAGCAGTGCTTGTGGGTTTTGGTGTATCATGTTAGGTTCTCCATCGATGACTATTGCATGGCCGAAGCCAGCCTGCAAGCTAAAGCGTGCTGAGCAGAATAGAGGAAGAAAGCAGAAACATATGAAATCAGCCATGAAAGCGATGGAATATAATATAAACAATGAAAGGGCAGTTCAGCTGTTGACAGCACGACTTATATACTGATTCTCGACTGATTCTTCACATGATTGCCACGGTTTTGTCTAAGGCCATTAATATCTACATGGACATCGTGCAGCTTTTCCTCTTCCTTCTGCAGCTCCTCGGCGAGCGCAAATGACGCTGTCACCGATTCCGATTAGTCGAACAGGGAGCGGAGTGAAAAGAGACGCAGTGAGCTTGCCGCAACGCTTGCCGACAATCTGATCACAGGGCAAAGGAGCTGATGCAGAAGAGAGTGAGAGAGGGTGAGAGATGGTTGCGCCCAATGTGGATCCTGGAGCATGTTGCACTGAACATAATTATCTCCTTTTCTTCGAAGCCAAGTCCATTTCAAGACCTAAGTTCTTGCCATGGCGGAAAGGGAAGAGCCGCGCCGGTGAGGCGCAAGTGCGGCGCAATGGCCAATGAGGTAAATTCGCCCGATTCGCCGGGGCACTTGTGGTCCTTGCCGGTGCTGTTGCAGGCAGCTGCACGGGGCAAGCCTTCTGGCTGTGAGGATGAGCTCAATACTGACAACGAGCAAGAGTTGTTACAGAAAGGAAGGCGTGCAGCTAAGGAGCCCCGGGTCACCTGCCAGGTTTGGAACACTGTTGCGCAGAGAGAGAGAGAGAGAGAGAGTTATGAGGTACAAAGAGCTTCAATGGGATCAGTTTGATAGAAATCTCTTGAATCCTTCAATAGTACTAACTAGCCCTCCATGTTCCAATGTTCCAGCTTGCAGGCGAAGGAGCTTAACACAGACAATGAGGCCGAGCTGCTTCGCAGAGTGCAGACTGTGCCAAAAGAGGAAGCCTGCTACAAGGAAGTCGTTCAGAAGAATCCTTCTGAGTCACTTGGGCAATTGGTGCACTTTGCCGAGGGCCTTTGCAGGCATCCGCCTGTTATCGGACGAAGCCATGAGAGACTGGGAAGTGTTCTCAGTCCTCCTGTCTTGGAGCCCACCACCATTGAAGCCGCAGAGGCTAGTGCAGAAGAAAGTGCAAGTGTGAGTGGAGAAAGTGCCAAGGGCCAGAGCATCGGAGACCCAGAAGTGGGTTGTGCAAATCATGAACCAGATCAATGCAAAGGCAATGATATGGAGGGTGCAGAGGCCAGCAATGCAAGCGGCAATGCTGCAAGCCCCATCAATGAGGCAAGAGGGAAGTTCATCTCGCAAATGGCACGGGGAGACCTTTCAAAAGAGGTTCCACCATTTCCGGCACTGAGCCCTGACCAAGCCAAGTTCACCAATGAAGCTGGCGTGGAAGGCTATAGCGAGACAGTGTCTGAAATTTCCGGAAATCATTCTCTTGACCTTTGCTTCTTGCGCCGAGCTGATTGCCGCTTCACTCAGGCAGGAGCTGCTTGGTTTTGTGGCATGCGAGCAGGCTACATAGACTTTGAGTGCTATACTGCGGAAGTTTGTGGGAGGCGGGGTGGGGCACTTTGTGGAATCATGCATATACTGTAACCAGATTGACGTTCGAAGGTCGTTGGCATTTGTTGAAATAGGCTACAGCTGGCTCAGGTAGAGCCAAATTGTGTGCATGCAAGAGTCAATTGGTACACCTTGAAACCATGTTAGTTTTGGATTTGGACACTAATCCAAGCCATGGAATCCCGGTGTGAGGGAACGCAGCTTTTTACAACAGATATTCGAAGCTGTGGATGACAGCATCGATGCGGTGTGGAATGCACGGGGTGCCCGCGAACGAGAGCGTGCCTCTGATGACTTTCCACTGTTGCTGGCAAACCTCAGCACTCACCTTCGAATCTACCACTTCCAGCTGAAAGAGAAAGGATGTATTGACACTTTAGATGGACGTGCTGTGATTTTAGAACTGTTGAGCCGCCTGGTGGAGGTCCTAGACACCCTGGCCCCACTTGAGGGGGGTCATGCAGCCACCGCCGTCCCTTGCCTGCGTGAGCTGGCCTGTGACGCGCTCAACGAGGCTCTTGGATCTCGTGGCTTTTTGCCGCTGTGCATTTCCTACATCACAGAGAGCACAATGGATATCTTCGGAAGAGATCTTGCACTGGAGCTCTCAATGCATGCCTTGATGGCCATACAGCTTTCTTTGCTTTGGTTCCCCCCCGACTCGCATCACTCTTCCTGAAGAGACATTCATTGACATGGAGGGCTACGAGTGCGTGCTGAGCGTGGCAGCTGACCTCATCACTCAGTTTGAGGAAGAGCCTTGGGACTTCCTTGGCTTGGAACGCTTGGCCTTGGCGATGGACATTCTTCGCATAGGGATGAGGTCTAATGCAGGCATCGACCATGTTTGTGCACAATCGGATGCTTCGGAGGCGCCAACAGTAGCGCCGCTGGCCTTGAGGGCTTTGCAGACACTTGCCTTTACGGCCTTGGAGGATCGGGAGAGCAAAGCTGCTCTAGCCGCTCTCCCGGCTGCTGTGCGGATCATGGGCGCCTTGATACATGTCACGCCCATCGCCAGGGCAATGAACCTAGGGTTTGTTGTCCAAGCGCTGAGGCAAGCCCTTCAATGTCGGCCTTTATCGCTCCCACTTGCTGTCGCCTTTCGCGACTTGGTGCTCCGTGAACGGCCGAGACATTGGTTCAGCCAAGGGCAGGAGGCCGCACGTGTCCGTGGAGACTTCTACCGTTATTTGCACAGTGCCTAGGTCTTGAATTTTACCTTACTTACCTTACTATCTTACGAGTCTTACTGTTGCTCTACTTTGCTAGTAGTGCCTCCGGAGGACAATTGTAGACTTGTGCGAGACTGCTGAGGCGAAAATGTCTTGAACGAATTGGCAATTGCTGCCACTGATCGGGTTGAAGAGCTGATGGATTCACTGCAGAAGAAGCGCCAGGGCGGAACTGGGCCCAACTATGTGCCATGCAGAAATGTGGTGCCGTGTGGCACGAGAGAGATGGCCGTGGAGTCCCTGGAAGAGGCTGTGATCATCGGAGCGTACTACGATTGTGTTGAGGCTGCAGTCCTTGCAGTCTACGGAAAGACTTCCAGAGTAGATGCTCAGAAGAGAGCAAGTGTGGAAGTGTGATGAGATTATCCGCCAAATCATAAGAACGGACTTTCTATCCTAGCATGCTGGAGGCCAAGAATAAACCAGACGTGAAGGTCGACAACTATGTCATGTTACCATTAGGCTTTGGATACCTTGAGCAGAGGCCTTTGATCGTGCCTGCTCCTTTTTTCGCTATCCGCGAGAGAGAGGATCACCGGCGTTTACTAGTAGCTATATGAAGCTATGAAGTTATATAAGTTTCCCTAAAAATCTAGGAGCCAAATGACTAGTGGGAGCGTGATTTACCCTGCGTCCATGCCCAGTCTGGATGTAGCTAGCTAGTAGCGAACTAGTCGCCTTACTTACTGTAATTAAGTCAAGTAGGCGCCTACTTGATTAAGTAGGGAGGGGGGAGCGGGCTACAAGTAAAGGAACTTTCTTTGTCCGAGGAAGAAATGGTTGAGCTGCAAGAGCTGCGATCATCGTTGCGATCAGCTGGACCCATTTCGCCTCTGGAGAGCATGCGCCGCCATTTCCAGCGTTGCTTTGCCCTCCCGACTTGTGGGGCGCCGACACGCGAGCCGCGGCTGCGGCGTTGAAAGCAGGCGAAACCGGACGAACAGGTGGACTTGAATCTTTCAAACATATGCGGTGTGAAGTCAAGTTGTTAGCTTTCGCAATGCTGCTAACTCCCTGGAGGCCAAGCCTGGAGTCAACATGTGCATGACTGAGACTGGCATTTTTAAAAATTAAGGCTTGAAGGGAAGGCCCCAACGCTGAAAAACTTGCAGAGCAAATGGAGTCTTGAGTATACACATACGACACACACACACACAGTTTGGTTCAATTCGCTCACTTGTTGCAGCATCAGGGCCTTCAGCTGAACCTCAGCACAGTCGCGGCAGGCATTTGTCACGAAAACAATAGCAACAAAGTATGTTCAAGCCGCTTGTGCTCTCAGATTAGATTGTTGGGCTGGTTTCTTGATCCTTCAAACCTGCACCGTTCTGGGGTGTCGTCATTTTGGAGCCGCTTGCTGTTAAATGCGAGCAGGAGATCCTTCTGATGAAGGTTTCCCGGTTCCCACTCTTCGCCTCGTCATTGTCAGATAGATTGAATCCTTAAAGCTGGGACATACGAGTAACATTCACGTACGCAAGCTTATGATATCTTATGACACCCCCACCAAGAGAGAATCAGAAGAACGTTTGCTTGTTTGGTTGTGGTGTTTTGCTTTGTTTGGTGCTTATGAGCTTGCTGCAGAAAGACTCTTCAGTAGCGAAGACCCAGATGAATCGTTTCACCCTTCCGTCTGCAGACCGCTGGCTTTGACCAGCACAGCATCGACTGCAGTCGGTGTTGCCGCAACTGCCGGCCGAATTTATGATGCAGCCCCTGGCACATGAGGAGTGATTCGAGAGATTAATCCGCAACCTGCTGCATGATCACCCATCCATGTTTCCTCTGCTTTTTGCTTTCACTATGTTTGATCGAATCAACCTCCATTTGTTTGCTCAGTTTGGGCATCTCGAGCGCAAAAGGCCAGTAGTGCTTGCTGCAATCGGTGAAGCACTGTCAGAGTGGCGTATGTGTCGAATCTATGTCTCAGATTCCCAAACCTGGGTGTCCATGGCTCAAGCCTCGCCAAAAGCTTATGTAGGAACACGGAACACGTCGTCATTACAATTTGAGCCTGGCTATGCCAAGCCTGTACCGCTTGCCGTGAAGCTCTTCGACTACAATAGCTGGATTGCTGAGAGCATCACATGCACTAGCCCCGTAGCTGTACGAGGACAATTGGCCCCAACAAACAGCATCGATAGAATCTAAAACACGATTATATATATATATATAAACGATTAAACCTGTTGGCGTCATTGAAGGTGCTGTGCGTGCCTGAGGCGAACTTCCACGAGTCCACGGTTCTCGGCCACGGCTGGGGCCTCCGTATTTGGTTGCCGATGCACCGTGTGAGGCTTTTGGGTTTGTTGACTGTTTCGTACCGAGACTCAGTCAATGCCATTTGGTTCGTGCCGGAAGCGCCACTTCGTTTCTGGGCAATTGTGTGTGGCTGGCTCAATCATTGGTTCAGGTCAAGGAGTTTAAGTTGACATCCCAAAGCGGGGTACATCCATACACGGCCCCTCTGGTTCAGACCGACAATTTCTGCCTTGTTGGCTTGGAATGCAAGATCTGACAGACCACGGCAGATCAGTCCGTTACTTTCAGCTGTGACTGTGATTCTGCTGATTCCAAGCGTTGCCATGGGTCAGCAGTGCTCCTCCTGCAACCAAAAGAAGGCCTGGGCTCCTCTTTCCTAATGAGTTTGGTTGACACCTTTTTCCTCTCAGGAATTGGAAGACGCGCCGGGGGAGAGCGATGTGAAAGCCATTGCAGAGGAGCCGATGGCTTGCAAGCAAATATGCATTCCAGGAGGCATCTCGATTCCACGGTGTTCCTTTTTGCCCCTGACGCCACGGCAGGAAGCACAGGCTTTGGCGGCTGAAATGACTATAGCTGAAGCTGAAGCAAAGAAGAGAAAGGGGAGTAAGGAGCGAAGCTTTTGGGACATTCTCTGCAGCCACAAAATGATGCAGTGACAACAATGTCCGGAAGAAGGAGCCAAAAGAACCAAGAGAAACTCAGTGGGTTCTGCCGCCTGGAGGAAAACTCAATGTCCGAAGCTCAGAGATAGACTGCAATTCAGGGCCAGGGGCAACTTTTTTGATCTTTTTTGATAACAGTTTTGGGGAGGAGAAAGATCGATCCAACAAACGCTTTAATGAACACCATCTATTTGTCTATTTATATATCTAATCTATCTATATATCTATCTACCTACTTTACCTTTGCAGATCGGAGCTGCAATGAATTTTGCAGCTCGAGGATTTGTGCTTCTCCTTATGAGTTTGCACTGAGGTGATGATGTTTGGTATGACAGGTGCCGGCAAGAGCGCACTCGGAAACTTGATAGCTGGTCAAGATATCTTTGATTCTGGTGTCTCGGCCGAAGGGTGGTGTTTGGTGATTCTGAAGCCAGTGGCTTAATGATTGAGCACATTTTTTAACTACATATGGCATCGGTGGTTCCTCAGTCAGAGAGCGAGAGAGGGAGTGTGTTGGAGAAGAAGCGAGCCTTGGCTTGCATCTTCCGGGTTGTGGAAGCCCCGCAGGTGACGATACAGCCAGCGCACCTTGGTTTGGAGAGGGCGGTTGAATTCCAATGCATCATGCGGATCAGCATGCCAAATGGATTTGGCTCCATGTTGTATTGCCCTTGCAAATGACACACGCTAATCAGTATATAAGTATATATCATTTTCATCCTGGCTGCGAGTGTCGACTTGGTTTCAGAGGTGGTAGAGACTCGGTCACCTGGAAAACGATTAGCAAGCGCAAGCTTGTGTTTTGCTGACTTATTCAGGTCACCAACTTGGACTCCATCATGAGGTTGCTTAGCTGGTACTGATTGTAGCTCCGTGTGCACTTGAATGCTAGATTGACAATCCTGAAGGTATGAGGCCGACGATGGGTCTCTGGTGGTCCTGGATACCATCGGCTTAGGCGACACAGAGATCGATCAGAGCAAGGCGAAGGGAACACGCACTCGATTGGCACAAACTACACCTCAAGTGATTACTTTAATAGATGCTAAGAAACACAGCAGCCTTCTGATTTATTTGTGTCCCGGAAAGGCTTGGTAGCTTGGTTTGTCAGCAGGTGGTCGCCAGCATTAGAGATGTGGCATTGTCGGCACCGCAACTTGGCCTGTTCAATTCAACAGACTACTGCCCGGGCCGCTGTGGGCCATAAGCTATAGGCTGGCTGGTGGGACAATGCCTGGTCGTGTTATGAGGAATGGCGTGGATTGCTTGCTGTATGTGATGCGCAATGCTCGCATCACTGACGATGCTATTGTGCCTCAGCGTGCAATTTCGATCACGTCTCGGGGGTTTGGACTGAAGGATGTTTTTGGCTGAAAGTCTGTTCTAGGGAGTGGATGTGGTATGGGAATGAAATCGGACGCCATTTGCACCTTTGCACTAAGTCACGGCTTATTTACGTGACGGAGTACCTGTGGGGTGATGTGACTTGTCATTTATTTAGAATGACTCTCTTGAAGTTTACCTGTTGTGGAGTCTGGAGTTTTCAGCAGTGATTTGGCTCATACACACTTGCCTTCAATGGTCGTGGTGGCGTTGTGATGAGGAGAGCTTGTTGAATTTGTACATTGTCGTGACCTATGCGAGCAAGTATGCGAACAACCGCCTAGAGGCTGAAGCTTTGCTGCAGGTGTGAGGGTTTTGGGGATGGCAGCTCATCGCCATTTTGTGAAGGAGTCAAGTTTCCTTGGCCATTGAGCACGGCGCAGATTTGTAAGGATGATTGGATTCAGAGGCAAGTTGAAATAAACTGGCGCTTCAAACATATCTATTCGATTGTGGGCTCCAACCCTCGCAGGCGTGCATCTCAGGGTGTTTTGTTTTGATTTCTCAGCATGACTTTGCTGAAGGGTCCTTTGCGTGTACAGGTTCATCTTCGTTGACAACCCAGATCTGGAGTCATTGGAGCCTAGGGTGGAAGAGAGGAGGAGACAGAGCCGGGAGTCCCTTTACAAGCTTTTCTGTGCCTTGGCAGAATCGACCCGGGGGAGCACTTTTTAAAAGATCACTCATCACTTTTCAAGCTTTGAGCGTTTGCGAGGGGTATGCTGAGCTGCCGGTGAAACTGAGGGCATCATCCTCGAGAAGCAGTTCCTCCATTCACACAGGCGATGATGAAGCAGGTGCCAGATTTCTAGGGTTTGCGTTTGCTAAATGACCATGTATAGGGGTTAGGGTGTTGGGCAAGAAGAAGCAAAGGCCGCAAAGAGTTCCCTGCACAGCTGCATTGCTGCGTGACAACGGTAGCGGAGACAAATATCAATTTGATTTGAGAAAGAATGGCAGTGCAAAACAACAGATGGCAAACAAAAGTTTCAACAGCAATTGGCAACAACTGAGACGGGGGAGCCATGTGTGTAGTGGACAGGGTTCATCCTGCACAGAACCAGTGCCACAATCGGCGCGCCGTGTGCAGTCTTTGCCTCTGAGGGCAGCGCTCTCTCTTTCTCTGTCTGTCTGTCTGTCTGTCTGTCTGTCTGTCTGTCTGTCTGTCT